TTCCATGGAATGAGAGGAAAGGAAAGCTTCTGATTAGTTGATTCGCTTATGCACTATGCGTTATGCGTTATGCAAAAGCTTGTGTCTGGGCTCTAAAGCTGGAAACACAATATTATATGTATCCAGAGTATGCATTAAAGAAAAAGAGAGAAAAATCAGAGGTTAGAATTGAATAGATTTGTATTCTATTGTATTTAATTACGATTACAATTAAGTATACAACATCTCTACGAGTTATACATAAAGTTGATGTTGAACAACGTGTTATATATTATATTTAATGTCTACTATGTTCCTCCTGTAACACTTCGAATAGCTTAATTTCTTCTCTATTTTTATGTTCGTCATTACTTTGGTCTCCCAGCAGTCCCAGCGGGAGAAACGAAACGCAGCGTTGGTAATTTCTAATATTGCCAAATTTATCTCCTTTCCCAACACCAACCAAACCAATTTTCGAACGCAACCTAAGTATATTCAGTAGAGACAAGTAATGGCCGCAGCACAGACTCTTGCATAATGCATAATGCCACCGACGAGATACTATTAAAGACCGACATCCTTACAGGAATTCGCGTCCTTGTGAATATTGAAGTGATTAAAAGTTAAAAACTGATAATATTGTACTAATTTTATGATTTATTAGTTTAGTAGACGTATTTATGCATTTATAACTCAATAATACTCGATTTTTCTTTAAAATTGAGATTTCAGTGTTATCATCAAAGTTTGATTATCAATAAAGATGATAATTGCAGAGAAAAAATTGTGATTTTTTTGCAATATATAGGATATTACAGCTTTACAAGTATGTATTTATTTATAGGACTATATTTATTTATAGGACATTTATGTAATAAAAAATGAATTTAATAATGCATGAGTCAAATATTTATGTTAATAATAGCAAATTTATATCAATTGTCGGTAATGTCAGCGTTCTTGAATTACCTCCGGGCCCTTGGGGCCCTTTTTATACCGCCGAAAATTTGCCCAGGGTTGACGGTCTTTAAATAATATCTCGTCGATGATAATGCATAGTGCATAAGGGAATCAACCAGTCGAAATTCTTCTTTTCCATGGAATGAGAGGAAAGGAAAGCTTCTGATTAGTTGATTAGCTTATGCACTACGCGTTATGCGTTATGAAAAAGTCTGTGCTACGGCCATAAAGCTGGAAACACAATAGACACAGGCAATAGGCACAGGCAACAGGGAATAACGAACCATCCAATCAGAGCTTTGGGGTATAAGTTCGATATTATATCCCAGAGCTCTGATTGGACGGCTC